AAGGTCTTAGCACTGACTACTGCCGTCCGGCTCTCAACTCTAACACCAGGCCCTATGGGTCCACCTGGTCCTCCTGGGTCTCCAGGTCCTAGGGGATTTCCAGGTATGCAGCTGTTTTTCAATAAAACAACATGAAGTTTCCTTAATATGGTGGTTAGGAAGACCACACATAGTTACAATATAAGAAAACATTTCAAAATGTAAGAAATAAGTTTATATTACTGGAAAAATGTGAACAAATTTGCAATTTATTTTCTACAGAATAATTTATGTTATATGTAAATTACGATGAATCTTACAAGTCTACGCGTACTCTTATCATAGTTAATTTATATTCTTGCCTATAAGACTGCCTGACCTTGTATTGATGGATTTAAGTCTGTGCAAATTCATTAAGGGCACAATCCGGGGGCTTCATCACTACATGTAAAACCTTTATTGATGTATGCTTTAATATTTTAAATTTTTTTATAAATGCATTTCAGGTCCTGAAGGAAGTTCTGAGCCAAAAGGAACTGATTTTACTTATAGCCTACTGGATTCTTATGTAACTCCACAAATAAATGAAGGACCTGGATTCTGTCGTTGTAAACGAGGACCAGTGGTAAATATCAATCTCCTACAACTGCAGAAAATCTTGTCCAAAACATGTATTACACAATCTATAAGAAAGTGACCAGAAGGGAATATTCATGAAAGTTTGCATTAAGTGTAAACTGTCTGAGGGAGCTGAAAATGGTTTTTGGAAAGACATATTACTCTGGAATTCAAATTTTGTTTAATATTAAAATATAACACAACTAAATTCTGTCAAGGTTAAGATTCTACTTTCCTAAACCTTAACAAATGTTTTAACTTGATCATTCATTTCTGCCACCATAAAGCCCAATTTAAAGCTAATCTTCAAACACATTGCTATCAGCTTCTGCCAAGGTAATCTTTAGTATTATCCTTACCTATTCTTTGGTTTACTATTGGCTGCAAAATGTTTTCCTTTAAAATGTAGCTAATATGTTACAAGCACAACTCACCTTACTCCTTATTCTGTGACTACCTTAACAGTAATGGGTACAGATTCCTTTTATGTGATAAACTCCATTCAACTGTCTTTGATTCACATATTACCAACTTCTCATTTTCAGAGACCTTAAAATTCTCTTCTATTAGAGTTAAGGTACCAGATGTCAGCTCCATGCAAGACAGTGGGTGGTTTCATATGCATCAATTTTAAGTTTTTTGAAACAATAAAGTGTTTCGAGTGTATACAATGCTATGCAGTACCTGAGCAAGTTTATTCTTCTATTAACCTCACATGGAATTTCTTGATTAGCAGAGAACTATGCTCATGGCACTCCTGTTATCTAAACTATTTGCTACTTTTATTCTATGATGCATTATTTAGTAAAATACATATAAAGTGTCATGTCATATAGGGTCCTACTGGTCCACCTGGAAGAGAAGGACAGAAGGGATTACAAGGGGAACAAGGTCCAAGAGGTGCTAAAGGGAAGCCTGGATCATTTGACTTTGTTCTGCTACTCATGGCAGATATACGACACAGTATCAGACATTTACAGGACAAGGTGTTCAATGGGCATGGGTAAGACAAATGTTTATATCCAGTTCATCCAAGATTTATATATACAAGCATTTTATACTTCTTTAATAAAATCCCATATAACATACCATTTTTTCTTCTCTCCTACTATTTGCTATCCTAGTATCGTAAGACAATATCAGTACAGTGCTCTCCTACTATTTGCTATCCTAGTATCCTAGTTCACTAATTTAATCATTAAAAAGACCATTGAAGTGCAGTAGTAACACTCATTGATCAATTTTCTCTCATGGCGACTGTAACTTAAATAAGTTACACAATGCACAAGACAAGAGAATCTCCTGGATGCCAAACCACTTAAAGCCATCTTTGTAAAAATTTTGCATTTAAACACAGAAAATTTAATTAACCTCTAGCTTGGATCTGTATGGAATAAATTTTACACAATATAATGGCCAAAACACAAAGCTTTAAAGATCAGTAGACTAAATATTTTCAACAGCACAGATACATGAATAAACGATGCAATTTGGTAATTTACTAGAGTGCATATAATTTTATAGATTACACTGGTATTGCTACTGATTTTCATTGTTCACAGCAGTGCAGGTTTCAGGTAAATAAAAATTATAATGTAAAAATTAAATTTGACAGATGAAGGTTTTTAAGCCAACCTTTACTTACAAATTTGGGAATGGAATAGGTTTATCATACTCTGTGCTTTTACTTTTATAAATTAATTTAAGTTTTCTGTTTCTTCAGTCCACCACCATTCGACCTACAGGCACAATTGCGTCAACACCGATCCAAAGATCGTAAACGCCTCGAGCGTCAGCAGCGGCTACTCGAAGGTCACGTGGCACCATGGTTAGAAAGAACAAGTCCAGCTGAATTCCGTGACTCAGAACACCTGAAAGAAACCTTACAGGAATTTGCAGATTGGGATATGCAGGATGCATCTGGGGATCTGGAGTCTGATGAATACACATGACTTCAATGTCGGAAGTAGATAATGCATTCCATAAATTTCTATGTCTAATTAGAATATACAGTACTTCAGAATTCAGAATCTTGCTATTGCCAAGGAATGGATGAATTAAAGTATTTACAATGTTTACTCCAATTCAATGATTGATTTTTACCTCCCAAATACTGATGCATCTGCACTTTACAGCATTTTATATTTCCATAATATATTTTTCTTTTAAAACTGTAAATCTATTAAACTGATGCACATTTCAACTACAATATATGCAAGTAAAATTGGGTAATACAGTTTTGTTAATAAAATTTTGTGATTCATAAACACAGATCATTCTGAAGATTGTGCCAAATTTCTTATCTCTAAATAAATGGTAAACTTCATTATTCCAGTGATCAGTATTTCACAGTAACCTATGACTACAAATACTGTTACATATACATCAAAAGCAGAAATGGAATAGTTTTAGCCTTTTTGTTTGACTCTGTAATTTCAATTCTGATTAGGTTGGTGAAAATCATCACCAAAAATGTTCCTGCCATTGAGTATAAAAAATAATGGGACTTTATACATTTCAAAATTCAGTACTGATATCAAAAGTCATTCCATAATCCAACACACAGCAGAGATTATAAGCATATACAGGTGGTCAAGTACAATCCTGGAAATATAGTATACTGATAATCTGAATTTAAAAACAACAAACAACCTGATATATGCTTAATCTGTTCTTCACAGACCACAAGAATACTATATGCTTACCATGAAAATAACTGGTTTTAAATTCCAAAATTTCAAATATTGTTTATGCTGGAATAATTTTTGGAAAATAAAGCACATACAGATATTAAAATATATATCTTGTAAAGAATATATTCCATAGAAAATTTCAGTCAACTGCAGTTCAGACTGGAACAGAAATCGGGATGGATGCTTGAGAAGTCAGTGCTCAGACGTTAAATTGATTTTTATTTGTAGTTATGCAGCACAGACTATACAATGTCAGATGATAGTATGATTCATGAATAAATAATGAATTGAAAACACGGAAGGAAGCAGACATGGCCTAGTTTACAGTACTATCCAGGTATTTGCTTAGAGGGACTGAATAAAACTACAAAAATCTCAGATGAAGTAGTCACCATCTAGCCAAGATTTGAACCCAGGATCTCCCAAAAGATCAGTATGATGTATCTTTCCATACATACAACACCATGGATATAATTGCATTTGAAGTAGCAGGAATACAAGATTATGTTACTCTCAGAAAAATTCACAAGGTAAAAATTACTGAAAATGTAATCCAAACTAAAATATTTAAAATGAAATGGTTTAACATCAGCCTGCTAAACTATTCTGATTTTGTCTTAACTTCTCTCAATGGTTTTTACTTAGAACTATTTTGTTTCATTAGGTAATGTAACAGTTGGTGGGCTGAAATTTTATCTAAAGTGATTTCTCAGACTAAAAATATGTAACATAAAATATTTGACCTATTTAGTACTAACAATTTTATATGAATTATCTTATGCTTGGTACATTTTAACACTTCAATGTTGTCCAATATACACACCATAAATTGTGTAGCTGTACTTTTAATTTATTTAGTCTTTTACTATTAGTACTGGCATGTAAGCAGAAGTTTCAAAAGAAAAATCATTATTGTTTCATGTACGAGTTCTTTTACCTCCCCCATCCTCTGTTTTACTCCCTTATCTCTATCATTCTTCATAATTCATTCCTCACAGAGGTATGGAATTTTTCTCACTTTGCCATCACGTCTCTCGGATCCTCCAACTTCCCTTAGTACAGGACTAAGCAGCTGTGCTGTTAAGCTGACGATGTCTGTGTAGTGCCAAGTCCTAAAGTTGTATAATTTTACCTCCAAGCTCCATATATACTTTCATGGTATGGTTTTTTGTCACTTTTCCTCTGCTGCCTTCCTTAATTTCATGTGAGTGTAAATAAACTCAGTTATTTTTCACATAAATTATTCTCAATTCTATATGTGAGTAATAAATTATCTTTCAAATAAATGTCATTATTATTTCACATACCAACAACTTCACACATTTCAAGAAGAGGGAGAAGGGGATGTTACACCGTTAAGTAAACATAATATCAATAAACTACAGACAAAAACATTAAATTTAATTAAATTTGTTCACCTAAATGCAAAATCCTAAAATATAGCCACTTTAATTTATGCTGTCAATCTAATGATAGTTTTAGTTTAAAATAACATGAACTCAAAATTTCAGAAAACTGACATCAACATCAAAGGATGTACTATGTATTCAATATAAGTATGGATATGAGTGAATACAGTACCTATTTGCATATTCATCAAATGTTTACCTTTTATTTCATGTTCTGATCATAACAAATTTTTTATATCCACCAATATACATCATTTGTCAAATTATAATACAGTCAAGTATTCTTCATATGCCCCTGTTCTATCTGCTTTATTTCATTTTACACCATCGCATATTTCCTGTTTTCGGATTACGAAAATATTTGGTAAGATGTTCATACATAATTATCATGTGATACATCTATGAACTCAAGACAAAAGCAATGGTGGGTATATAATGTTCCTCAATATTTCAAATTCTATATTCATACTTTCAGAAACAGAACACATGAGCAGCTTTCTTGCCAATTTTGTTGTATGACAAAACATCCATCTACACAATGAAATCACATAATGCCCTGAACCAAAAAGTGAATAAATAATACATGTAAAAGAATCCTGCACACTTGTAAATTTTGCTCTCTATTTTCAATTTGGCAATAAAACACTTAAAAAGAAAAGTATATTTCCTGAACACACACAAAAAAAATGTTTCACGGATTCATATGTACATATAAAATTGTCAACAATCAACATAGGTCTCAGAGTAAGAACTATACCTGTCTTGTTCAGTCTTGGAATTACTGGGCATTGCAAGGTCAGTGCAATGTTTTTTGCATTTCTTTTAATTTTGCAGTGCAATGCAAACTTAAAAAAACCTTCAACAACTATTCATAAAAAGACAGCTAGTATTGTTAATGGAAGAGCTATACCAAATCATCCAAATACACATATAATTATGTTTGCAGGAATTATTAACTAACACCATCACCAAAATTAATAAACTGTAAAGAGAATGGTGCATGATATTTATAGCATGAATATGATAAGCACTACACTATGGACTGCTTCAACAGAACCGCTTCATCAAAATTCTGAAAAATATTTATCCTCTGAAATACCATCTACACAATGCTCGTTATGTAACAGTAAACTTCATTTAGATTACTTGCATACGTACATTCCTCACTATTCAGTACTGACATTCCTTTAACTTTCTTTAGATAAGAGAACTTAAATTATGCTTACCATTTATCAATAAAACCACAAAATACAAAATATGGTAATAAATGTGCAAACATAAGCAATGTACATTACAGCATGTGACAATGTAATCCAAATTATGAAAATATTCTTGGATTATGAAAAAAACGAATGACTAGGGCAAAATTTATGCATTGTAAATATTAAATGCAGCATGCTTAGTTCTGCCTTACACTCAGAACCATGATTTAACCTTTGCCCCTTTACAATATTGCAAATATATGGCTTCTCAGATAGAAGTCATATAATGATAGTAACACATGTCAACAAGTTATCCTCCGTTCACTTGTAAAAGAGGCAGAAAGATGTTACATAATCCACTGAGTCACAGGAATTTAATAATTCACATACTCAAACTCATTTCAAAACAAAGAAATAATCCATTTACATATAAAACCATTTCAGTCTTAGCCTCATGTATTTACAACACAACGTACTCACGAACTTGTTCCATCGTCTCAATATCAACCGTCTGCATTAGCTGTTCGAAATGTGATGCTCCCACTTGGTTTTGTAACTCTGACATCTGCCCACATACACAAGAAGAATATGAGCTTATTAATCATGTATGGATCTAATTAATCAATCAATCCTGAATACCTCCAAATACAACAGACCTACAAATCACAAGCTTAGCAATTACAGAAAAAAATCCTAACTTAAAAATTACACAATCACAATTTATACAACTTATACTTTACATTTCACAAAACAAAAAGTGTTTTAATATAAGGCAATGCAACATGTCTTATAGTGTAATGTAACAACCAGTCATTAAGTACAATAAAAATCTGATGTAATGAGCATTGCTACAATGAGAATATATTACAATACTGTGAGCTGATTAGGATAAAGGAAACAGCAGCCGGACATTTCCATACAGATGCCAACATTTAAACGTACGCTGTTATTTCTTGTTACAAATAAAGCTGGTTGTTGCACTTGACAGTTGCTGTGCCCCAACTTGCAAATTATTCAATGACCATAGATTAAAAGGACTCACCTTGCATTAGGTTTTAGGTTTGTACACATTCACATACAAAAAGCTGGTTTCAAACGTGACAAAATTGACTTTGAAGACACAAAAACAGTGAAAGTATGTACGCTTTACAAAGTAATGCATACCCGTCATAATGAAAATATAAATCTAATGGGAAAAAGAAAGATAGAAATGGCACAGAACCATGCTTAATATGTGTAGTAGTACTTACTTACTTATTAAGCACTGTGCTTCCTGACCTTGGTCATAAATGAAAAGAAGTGTTCAGATTCATGCCCCAGCCACTTTTCCCCCTGGGAAAGGGCCCCCAGTACCCATTCGATAGGAAGCTGGCTAAGAGAAAAATCTTTTGACCCTACCTGGATGTGAACTCCACTCATCCTGGTCACTATACTGTTTGGGCTATATGTAATACTATGAGTATATATAGAACCAAATTGAGGGGAAAAGAAAACAGTTACCTGCGCCTGGAAGTAGTCCCTGAGAGCAATGGTATGTACTGGGTCTGATACCGCAAGCTGCTTCCGACGATGATCATGTTCAGTTTCATAGTCGACATCATCATCTTGACCTGGACTTGAGTGCTCTGTCAGCAAGAGTGAACTAGGACATAAACATTACATTTCCCTGTAGCACATGGCACTGTGTCAGAACTAAAATCTTGTACCTCCACCTAAAGCAATGGAAGTATCAAGAATGACAATTTTGTTATAAGTGAATCAAGATTTAATTATGTTAAATACAGAGAAGCTGTGCAATTATAATGACTGAATTCGTAGTAACTTATCAATAGAGAGGTGAGGCAAAGTTGTCACCTCTCTATTCTTTTAATTATAATTTATACAAATATTTTATCAGCTACCTACATGGGGTACAGTCCTTGAAAAGCTAAAAGTATGCTCAGCTAGTCAAGAAATTTCCCACCATTAATGGAAATCAGAGATTCATTATTGTACTCACAAGGGCTAACAACCAGTCACTGGCCAATCCAAAATTAAACAGTATTTCAATGCAGACTAAAACATAAGACTGATAATTGCTGAAGAGATTACACTTACAATTCTGATTACATTTGTCATTTATGGAGTACTATCATACAGAATCCAAGTCTCCAATACTGACAACTTAAAAAGGTATATGAGAAAATGTTAAGAGAGAAACTACACAAATTATGAAACAAAATTTGTGAAAAAAGAGAAGAAGTAAAGTTTTGAGAACTAGTATATAGCACAGAAGTACATAGTTCAATCAAAGCTTGTAGAAATTAAAACGATACACAAATATAATTACCATTTTCTTAAAATATGTTGCAAATCTCACCCAAAACTAAAGAAACTGTTTTCATGTAATGGCTAGAAATTATAAATCATAAATGCTTACTCAATTTGGATACCCATGTCATCAGTCTTAATGATGTCATTCAGGGTTTCTGTTACATTAAGAAGAACACCACAGAACCTCTCAAGCACAGCACTGCAACATACAAAATAGGGTCACAGATTAAGAAAGTACAATGCATCTGAACATGAAGAGTAAAATTATTCAGCCACAGAAGTGTTTAGGGGGACAGGAGATATAGCTCCTACTTGTTCTTGACCTAGATGAGGGTGAGTGGTCAGTGTCATGCCCCGGCTGTGCTTCATCCCGAGGAAAAGACCCTCAGTACCTAATGGATAGGAGACTGGGTGGGTCCCAGAGCAAGTCTGGATGCAAAGGCTAAAAGAAAAATCCACCCTGAACATTTTATCTGTTCCACAATACACAGAACAGTGCTGACTACAAATGCTTCACAAATTACTTCATTTCCACTTCCACTCAACAAGCAGTTTCACACAATGCAGTAATTTGTTTAATACATTACATGAATTTGTATTTCAAGTAGAGTTATACCTTGACTGTGCAGTAAGCAATGAAGCAAGTGCTAAACCTAGTAGCTTCCGACGCTCCAGCTGTGTCACCAGTGCCATCTTATCTAACCATACATCCAACATCTTGTTAAGTACAACTTCTGGCGTTTCTCCTATTCCCTGTGCCACTTTTGCTATCACCTGAATAAAACAAATCATTTACAACAAACATTAAAATACAAAAATGTAGAGTGAAATCATATTAAATAATCCTATCATAGGATGATTCAAACTTAAGCAGTTTCATTATCAGTTACTTATTCAATGCCTGAAAAATAGTCTGAGAGCTGAAAGAGTCTTGTGCTCAATCTATCAAAAGCTGACAACAATTATTCAACATTTTCACATTTATGCCCCACACTGTATATAAACTATAAGACAAATTGTAATTACCTGACTAAAAACATCCCTGGAACAAAGAAGTATTCTTGCCATGATAGACAGATACATAGACATGACCATTGGATAAGCTTCTCCTTGGTAGATGGCTCTGAAATTAATAAATTAGTATGACAGAGCAAGTGTCTAAGAGGTGTGACCTCTTCAACCAAAGATCACCTGTTAATGTTTACACTGTGTGAAGGCTCTAGAGGGGAGTGGAACAGAGAAGGGAAGGAAGCGACTGCACGTACAGTCTAATCTCTTCATAGCTAAGTCACCCCTGTCAAAAAGGCAGAGTTTCCTAAGTTCACTACTGGCATTCTTTGGTCAGATGGGTTATACTTGCCATTTTTTCCACAACTGATAGGTCATTAACAATCTACTTAGACATTATTTTTCTTAAATTCAAGTAACCAATTCCATTTCCAGTATGATCTCTGTTCTTCTAAACGTTATATATTTTATCTGTTAATCTACATTAGCCATTAACCTCTGAACACTTATTACTTAGCCACTCATCAAGAGAAGTGTGCATGTCTCATGTGATATGGAAGAAAGTGATGCACATGAAAATAATTTAAATTTCCACCCATAAGTAGGAAAAATTTCAATGAGCTACTCATGACAACATGCAAGTTCTGTGCACTGAGCGAACATTTACCTCTATATTCTATTAACAATATGAATAGGCCACATCTTGGCAAGTGTGTCTTCCTTCTTTGGTTATTTAATACAAAGTTTCAACTGCTGAAATTATATATGCACACACACATATATCATAAAATTGGATGGAAATATCATAAATTACATTTCCTATTACTGTAAAATTCAAAACGCAATACTTGTTAATTTTGTCACATCCTGCATCCTGTTAGCCAGTCAAAAGAAAGCACAGGAGGTTGTTTCTCTATAAATGACAGTAAAAGTAAACTAAATACACTTTTAAATACATACTCAAATATCCTTGGTAGCATAGGTTTAACCAGATCTGTGGCAATGTTAGGTGATGCACGCAAACACATTTCCACTAGTCTCATTGTCATGACAATGCCCTCAGAACGCATGTCAGATAACATGTCACTGCATGAACTCACAATTATCTCACCATAAACCTGAAAGAAAGTTACAAACAGAAGAGTGTCAAAATGATTCAGAGAGAAAGAAAGACATGATTCTTCAAAGAATGTAAGTTCTCAATTAGTACACACTATATAAAAGAAGTTTGAAAATATTTTGTATTACGATATTAAAAATGTATTTACCTTATGGGCCTATGCATTCACAGCAAGGGTAAATTAATACAATTCTAAGATGAAAAGTGCCCAAAGTGCAGAATTCTGTTTATTCCCAATTCTATAATGAAAGTGACACCTTAAAGTGAACTTGAAACCCATAGAGGGACATGATATAGAATATACTGACAAGGTTTTCGCTTTATCAGAAGTGCAGGCTGCAGAAGGCATGAGGAAAAATTCACGATGAATCCAACTGGTCTCTGTTACTGAAAAGACAGTCACCTGTAATAAAATATGGGAACACCAATTGCATCCCAGAAAGCATGAGAGCATCATGACATTGGAGACACACAAGTTTGCCAACATCAAAGAAATTAAACAGTCAACCTTCTACAGGAAGTCATGACAATTTTCTTCTGGGACACTTTTGTGGTCATCAACATTAACATCCTGTTACATACTTACATTCAAGAATTCTTCAGGAGACAGAAGGATATTCGCCTGAATGATATAGAAGCAGGTTCGTAGATTTTCAGATGAATATTCTAGAAAATAAGCAGGACCACATCTTTCTTTCAGTAAACAAATTAACATTTCCTGACTACATATTTTACAGTTCACAAGGGGAGGAGTATTTACCAGAGTTAGAAAGAAACACACAATAGGAAATTAAGAAAGACAAGGAAAATCCGAAATTGAAACAAACTGTGGGAAGGGAAAGTTTTAAAGTATTTCCAAATTATGTATTAGCGATCACTACCCACGACAAAGTCAGAGTTCGTGTAAGATAAAAAGCGTCTCTGTTCTGTGAAACTAATTGAGAACGATCTGTCAGATGTTGACAAGATCTTAAAAAACTGGCCAGAGAAACTAAACTTATGACGAAAACGTTAGTAAGGAGGTAATTTCGAAACCGTAGCAGCGAGCCACTGGCGTGGATATATTTCGATTCATTTTGTAGTAGTATCTTATTAGTGAATAATATTAAGAAAATATCTGAATACTTATAATGCTAACAATTATTTATTTTAATCCGTCTTATCACAATATTTAAAATTTCTTATAATTAAGATAATAAAATATCATTGATGTTCCATATCGATTGATCGATTTACATTTTGGAACATTTTACACAACATGTTTCAGTTTTATAAAACCATCATCAGGTGTAAAATATCTACGAACTTAAAACTCAAATATGATTCCATTTGGTGATGTTTTCATTGCGTTTGTTTTTCATTTTTGGGCGGAGATGTTGTTTTTTCTTAAATTTTATTGGATGTACATATCGGTCTTATCTTAATTATAAGAAATTTCAAATATTGTGATAAGACGGATTAAAATAAATAATTGTTATAATATTCACAATATGACGCAATTACACTATCTTAAGAGTTAGAACTCTTGAAAACATGAACAGAATATTAATGTAATTCTTTTTGTACACATTCTTAATATCAATGAGTTGCCATACTTTGTATACAATGACAATGGAATAAATACAAGCACACAATGCACAGTTAGTTATCAAATCCTTGTTTCCTGTTGGTTACCAGTGAAAGGACTTACACTGAGTGTTTTATCTGATGTTTCTGTTTATCCTAACAGAATAAAGGTAGTCAAGAAATTTAGTACACTGAAGCATGCGTACATTGATACAGGTGTTTAAATCTGTTACAATACTGACTGTTGGCCAGGGTTTTAGATCTTCTATCAAAAAACATACCCAAGGGAAAAGTTTTATCTTTTAAAAGATCAGAGTAATCAAAACTATCAGTCCAAAAATTAATATTTTATAAATATAGATAAAAATACTCTTCTAAATGTATGATATTTTCAAAAGACAAATCTGATATCCTAACACAGACAACTGGGATAAAGTAATACATTCATGAACTATGCTATACAATTCACAAATGGAAATATATCCATGGGAGAGTTTAAATTATTCTACAAAAACAGGTCAAATGGGAGAAAAGTAAAATTACAAATGACATGGCATTGTGAGAAAGGTGCACAGTTTGCAATCAGAATAACGAACACATTACTAATGTGAACTTTGGTTCATAACAACAGGCTTTCCACTTCTAGCATTCACTTCCTTGATTATGTTTATCACATATACAATATAAATATAAAATATATATTCAGTCAAGCTCTTTGTAGGTTATGTTGTGGTAAACCACAGTAATGTTAACCTTTTAAAAAATTAAATCCTGGAAAGGAGCAAATGCAACAATTATAGGACATGATTTCATTATAAAAGCAGACTTTCCTTACAGCAAAATAACCCACCTAACAGAGGTGGCATGTTGCGGAACAAATGAAGAAGGTCATGAGACATGGACGAAGAGTTCTCCAGTACTGCGAGCCACAGTTCTAATCCATCTTCCAGCAGATACACATGGCAATCCTGATGCACATCTGTACTCAACTGAATTACAGGCAGCAAAAACGGGGACAGATTCTCACTTACTGTTCCCAGTGCCTGCAACAAGCACACTATGGTAATATAGCCAGACTTTAAAATAATAGTAACTAAAATAGTTCCTATCTGTAAGTACAGTCACGCTCTCTATTTCACCATGTTTTATCCCTCAACTAAACTTAAGTTGCAAGAACAATGGGCAACTCTCAGCCAGTGATGGTCTATGTATTACTGGGCATCAAAATAACATTCACAGAGTACATTTTCTACGAATGCTTATCATAAACACTTGATGACAATTTGTTCAAATGGTGAGGTTTGCATCATAAGGAGTGCACCTCTACAGACATCAAATCACCCTACTAGGAATGCATCTTTACTTCCTGAATATCAACTGTTATCTACCCTGATAAGAATTTATATCAAAATAAAAGTAAAATTTCCTTTTGAATCTCATGGGACATCTGTGAAAAGTTATAAAAAAGGTTTACTTTCTAGAAAAATAGAAAGGGTTTATTCCTAATTGGTACCAAATCTGGGCTAGGCACAACAATGGATCTTACAGTGCATGAAAGTCTGGACTGGTTTCATTTAGCTCATGATAGAGTCCAGTGACACATTCATACAAACACTGTACCAAATCTTTAGGGTCCATAAAAATCGCAAATCTAATAACCAGCTGAGCAACAATCCACTTCTTAAGATGAATCCTGGACCATGGAGTTAGATGGCTAATTAGGCTAGGTGGTTAGTTTGAAAGCAGTGTTGGTAGAGGAATTATGGTTCTTCACATTAAATTTTGTGCTATTGAAAATGGTTAAATAGGGAATGGCCACCAAGATAAAGAGTCAGGACAGGAAAACAGCCTCATTCACCCTCTCCAAGAGTTCACATCAGGTAATTTGATATAATTTCATGTCTAATTTAAATTGTGGAAATGTGTCAAAAGTTTTTAGAAAGTAATATTTTTCAGTATGCCTACAAAAAGAAATGAATAACAAGACCAAAAACATTACTTTAAAAAAATATTCAAAATACAAACTAAGTATACAGACCTTTACTAGATGCACTAATGTGGAGACAATAGCACATCGAAGCATATTGTGTTCTGCAGATTCTTCCCACAGTAACGGCAAGTACTGGATCAGAGAGCCAGAATATGGCCTGATAGCAAACCCAACTCGTTCCACAATAAATGACAACACATACAAAACATGCATCTGAAAAAAAAAATCATGCTCATCATTACTTTACTAATTTTCAATTCACTTTGTTATTTCAGTAACATAGGTGCAATGCCAGAACAATTAAACCTGATGCTACAGAAGATTCAATTACAATGCATATTTTGGAAAATCATTTTGAAACGCATAAACTATCCAATGTTGAGAGCTCCCTTCCACGGGTTTTTTGTTTCTTGTTGCTGAACCAAAAACTGTCAGCCACACAGGTTAAAGAGTGTCCATTTGTTTCATGAAGAAGCCACACGAAACAGAAGTCTACTTGTCAGACTTACTTGTAAAATATGTAATGAAATTTTATGTTAAACTTTATCATCCATGCATTGCACTGCTATGTGTATTCCGGCTGGACATGTACCATACTAACATTACACTAAACCAGGCATAAATGAGCTAATTTACGAGTACAGTGGTTATGACAGCGTGATTGCGTTCACTGCCCTATACGGTATTCTGTTATGCTTTGACACAAAAACATTCTGACCTATGTATTTTATTTGCACTAGTTGAAACAAGTGTAAAACTTTATTTCTCTGAACACAACATAATTCTCTTCATTACAATAATGTGAACATTTTAGGAATAAAACAGAATGAACAAGAGCTAATTTTGTGGTAGACTCGCATGAAGCGATCTCATTTAACAGCAACAGGGAGCTTGATAAAGACAGTATGGAAATATGTACAAATAATAATGTAAATGGAAGCCAAGACAAAAACACAATGTAAACATGAACTGGAAGTCTATGTTATCAGTAAAACTACACATTAGTTTTAATAAAAAATAAAATATTACCTTTGTATCACATTCATGAGCTTCCTTCAATAATGTGAACAGAAGAGCAAATGAAGGCTCCAGGAATGGCAGAAACTGATCTGTATTGAATTCAAAGTCATCAATAGCAAGTTTGAGAGTGTTTGAAGCAGTAAGCCGAACAGCCATGTCCTCATCTCCCTGCAGTAATGGAAGCGTCCCCGCATACAAGGCTGGGCGCAGTTCTGGTGACAACTTTACTCCTGTCCACTGTCCAATAAGCCATACTACACGCCGTCGAATAACACGATAATTATCACCTTTCACATTGAGTTCTTGTGTCAATGTAGTGGAGAACCACTGGTCAAAATTCACCTATACACATAAATGTCAGTATTACAGTCCGAATAGAACCTGCTAATCAATAAATTACAATAGAACAAGCTAACAAAAAAATCTTTCTCCTGCTGGTTTCAGCCATTTTCAAATTGTCAGTCCACCTATACATCTTCTGTGAATTTAGTCCATCAGACTGACTTTGTTTAAAACTTCTGTTAATAAGTGGTTAAACTAATCACAAATGTGCCCTAACAATAACTCAATTTCTTGTTTAACAAAGAATTCTATAACAACGCTAGTTCCCATGCACTTATAAACAAAACTATATCATGTAAAAATTAAAATTACTTAAAACACATTACTTTCACATAAAAAAATAATATATAAATCCCTGTGGCATAACACAAAAATATAGATTTAAAAAGTTGCAAAATATAAAATAATCTGTACTCATAAAAGATATATTCATGAGTTTATTTCAAATTTATAAGAGAAAAGATATAATTTAAGCTTATTCCAACTAAATATCCATCAAGAATACCTGACATTTTTAAGTCACATTATGTATATTTTATTATGTAAGAACTAAGTGCTTTTGTATCATATTATCTCTCTGAGCCAGATTTTGTGCGAGAGAGAGAGAAACAGACACTTATCACATCCTGGGATGACAATCAGTGCCATCTGATGATATCCTACATAAAACCCATTTAACTTATCTAATGTAATTGTGGAACTACAGTTTGCTAAAAACAGTTTTAATAAAGTTATAATAGTACTGATAGAAACATATGTACATACTTCATCATAGAGGTCAAATGCTGCTAGGCCAACTGCATTATAAACAGCATCTTTCCTCAAAATAGCACTCAGATCTGAAGGTGAAACTAAAGCATGGTTATTCTGAATCATTTCAAGCAGCACTGGTGACAAGGTGACACGAAACTCGTGGAACAAGGCAAGGAACAAAGATTCAGTACAGGGCTGCAACATACAAAGTTTTGTTTGTACAGCAAATGAAATTTGTACCTCTCCTTATGGATAACTGTGAATTAACTGTTAACAAATTTCATTCCTAGCACAGAGAAAGAAATAATCAAGTTCTTACGGTGGTGAGTATGAAGATGATTGCCTTCTGGGATGTTGTGCCACACAGTCTGATAAAAGTTAACTGGTGTTTAAAAGGTGCTTACTGCCGCTATCATCGTGACAATAAGCAGCACCTGTATGTATTGTCCTGATGACAGAAATAGCAAGCACCTTTGAAATATTAGTAAACTAATACCAGACTACACTTTGTCTTTTGAACAGACCAGTTATCGTGTTATTTATTAATTATTATATGCAGAAATAACAAATGGAAAGAAATATGATCAAATTTTCTTACAAAACAGCACATACCCGAAGACTGTACTTCCAAGACTCTCCCCCTTCATCTGTAGCTGAAACATAAGATAAAAATTCTTTAAATGAGTTATTCTAATATTTATTTAAAATTAAGTTTTGTATACACATTTTACATTTCATATATTCCTTTCCAAAACCGCACTAAGACAGACAGTGTCTAATTCTCAGATTTTAATGCCACTACCCTATTTACTAACAGAGGAAACCCCATGCCCCCAATTTACCTCTTCCACCAACAAAACTCTTACACTTGGATAATATCAGTGGCACTGTTTGGAAGTGGCAGCCATATTAGTGCTAACTACTATAGAGAAACAATTATGTTTGACATTTAGATTTAAAGTGACTGGGGTAATTGAGCAGAATATGGAACAAAAGCTACTAATATTTTATTCCTGAATTGTAGAGAGTTTGGTAATAAAATTTACCAACACACTATATAGATATCAGCATGAAAATCAACCACTCTATCTTTACAGCAGTTTATAAAAAATATTCAAAACAAACTTACCAAAACTTTCAGGATCACTATCCCATAGTTCTAAGTCATCACGTGTAAGCAAGAAGTAATGTGTTACGAGCTTACGACACATTTCTGTCAATGTATCAGCTGTGAAGAATGTCATCTTTATCTGATGAGCACGTAATGTTCCCAGCTCTTTTGTTTCTGCATACAAGTAAACACATATAACTGAATATCAGAAGATTACTCAAAGAGTATTTCAAATAATATAAATTCATAATTTCCTTTTATTCATAACATAACAAAGCATAACATTTTTTGTATCTTAAGTTTCCAAATCTAAAGTTGTTATCAGTTTATGTTTAAGCTCACCTTCAACAATCTTTGCTGGCTTGTATTCAGCACAAAGCAAAATACCCTTGATTAGGTTCAAACACTGAATAATAAACCGCTCAAACAGAACAGACTCCCCAGACGGTGTGAAGACATAAAACACAGCAAACTCAAGGGATGGTTGTATCAAATCAACATAAGAGAAAGGATGATGTTCCAGTATAGCAATTAAGACCTTTGTCAAATGAATAATAAACTTCTCAGACAGTTCTACCAGATTTGAGCTCCTGTTAGGCAGTGTTTTCCCTGAAAAACAAAATCAATGATAATGTAAGTTAGTGGTTAAAACAATTATTTGCATTCATATAATAAAAGGTCTAAATGTTGAATTTACGCTGGGACTTCACAACCGGAGAACCATAGAAGAAGAAGAAGAAGGTAGGCCTAACTGCTCTTCCATTTCTCAACTATGTTAAGACTGAATTACTACTTACTGCACTCCAACATGGTCTTGGCACGGTCAAAAACCATATTGAGAAAGTGCACTGCATCTGCTGATTCATGAGGTTTCTTGAAACCATGTACAGTCAATTTCCTCAAAATGCGCAATGCTAACAAGGCTTTCTCTAATGTTGCTCCCATCTCACTGCTGTTTGTATTCACCTGTTATGATGTAACAAACAAATAAATAAGTAAATGAATTATACCTTATTTACTTAACACAGGATAAAATATGAACCTAGTTACACAGTGTCTGGTAGCTTCAAATAAAAAACTGTATGATCTTCTGACCAAAAGTGGTACAATTTATAGGGCTGTATTAAAGAACAAAATCCAATCTTTCAGTGTTTTATGTACTTTAAATGTCAAATACCAAAGGGCTAAAAGTCATCTCTTCACAGACACTCTTAATCTGTAGCATTACTGTTATGACTAAAACTTTACATTTACGATAGTGAAAGTGTTATGGAAATACTAAATTTGAATCCTTACATTTTATGAACATGCCAAAAGCCATCAACATGCACAGTCACTAACCAAAATTTTGTCTTTAAATGATGTAGTTCAGACCTGTTTAAGAAAATTCTCCACATGACTGTTCCACAAGTTGAGCACAAAGGAAAACACATTACTGGTAAGTTCCTGGAACAACCTGCGATCTCCAGCTAATCGTTTTGAAGACAGAGTCTTGATAACATGATGCAGCATCAATAAAGTTCGATGCTGAACAAGTGGGTCTTCACTTTTCACTGCAGTAAGGAGTGTAGGAACCAATTCAGGCCATTCACGTGGACAATCAAACCTACAGAAAATTATTGTAATTTATGAAATTATAATGCTAAATAAGAAATTAAATCTATGAATAAAAATAATACTGGAATTACAGACAGCACTTTTAAGAGGACACAGCAGTAGAAGGAATTTATTATTGCATCTATTTATTCAAAGGGTGAAAGAACTAACTATTAATTACTAAGGAATAACATAACATATAAAAATCAGAACAACATTATTCTATCAATGTTAATTCCATATGTAGAAAAAACTACTGGAAATCATCATGGATTTTGAAGTAACAGATTAGCAAAGCATGAGTTAAGTAGGACAGTAATTATATACAAACTTCAAGAACGCCTATGATTCGATTGGGAGAGCAACATTGTACAATACTCTCATTAAATTTGGCATACCCATGAAACTAATTAGGCTAATTAAAATGTGTTTAAGCAAAACCAGTAGGACATATAAGTAAACATCTGTCTCATGCATTTCCTACTCAGAATGGTCTCAAAATAGGAGATGATTTATCATTAATACTTTTCAACTTTGTTTTAGAATACTCCATTAGGTAGGCCCAAGAAAATCTGGGGGGAGTTAAAGTGAATGACACACAACAGCTTTCAGCCTGTGTCAATGATATTAACATTTTATAAATTTAAAAACACATAACACATATTACAGACTAGTGTAGAGATTGGTCTAGAAGTAAAAGTGAATAAATGTTTTGTGAACAGAATGCAGGAAGAAATCATAATACAAACACAGCTAATAAATCATAAGAAAATATAAGAGATCATATACAAAAATTAAATCAAATTCATTCAAGAATTTATTAAATCAGGCATGTTATAAGTCACATAATTACAACGTTATCAAATGAAATGTGTGTTACCTGGCAACTTTTGATATAAGAACAGCCAGCTGTGTTGCAATTTGATTGATGGGCTCACGGAAATTAGATACCAAACCCTGTCGCAGAGTTGTCTTCTCTGCTTCAGAGAGAGCACTAGAATAATGAATACATTACACATTAAAAAGGCTCTGTTCTAAAATAAACTCAGTTACACTCATACATAAAAAAATAAACTTCAATACTCACTTGGGTGCTGTTTTACGCCAGTAGCGATCAACACCATTTTTAAAATACAAGACTGCTAGCCACCGTACATTCACGTCTATGGAATGGTTTGAAAATATATTCTAAGGGAAAGAAAGACACGATTTCATACATATACATGAAATATTGTTTGGAATATACTCTAAAGGAAAGGTAGACATTTGATTTCATACACATACATACAAACTATTACTAGTTCTCTGTAAATTTATAGTCTTTTATTTTCCTTTTTATCCATTATGTATATCTGATACATTAAACCAGCAGTCACCAGCCTTTCTTCTGTAGCATGTAACTAAAGAAGCTTAACATTTATAATGGGCACTACATTAACCCACCAAAAATTTGAACTGAAACACATTATGAATAAATCTGTACTGTGTGTTTTCACATCAGAACATCTTCCAAAACAATGTTCTAGCATGCCCCATCTTTAAAAAAAATGCCTAAGGAATAGATGAGTCATTTCCCAGGAAATGCCACCATTATTTTCACCCAAACTCCTCAATTAACAGAAGTGCTCAGTACTGAAAATAGATTCAGTTTACATAGCAAAGATTTTCATGTGTTTTGTAATCACAAGTGACTATTCAATATATTATGAATATTTTCTAATTCTGGACCTAAAGAATATGGCTGGCACTATCTGCATTATACACATAATTTCTATATGTAATATTTGATTCTACATTTATGAAAACAAAAAATTGTTACATACAAGCAGAATTGAGTAGAAACCAGGTTCAGTTTCCCATTCCTTTAACTTCAATTCAGCAGGTTTGAGAATTTCTGCATTCTGATTAGCTGCTCTTTGTAAAGTTTCCAGGACCATGGACTGAGCTGTTGCAATGTCCATCTTGACTTGTCACTCAGTATTCGATCAGTTTAGAGCATACATTAAGAAGGCAAGTGATGGACCAACTGCAGACTTCAACATTCATCCATTATAACCCTTTCTTGATGTTAGTATATACAAATCAATTATATTGTAACTAGTTACATTAGTCATAAGTATCAAAACCACTGCAAACTGCATATGGTTTGTCACATTACTTCACATTTAAAATAATCTGAAATCACAAATATATATATATATGTAAGAATTTGTATATTTAATGTACGTACATGCACTGAAGAACTGGATATAATTTTCCTCTCACATAAAATTTCTATGCTCTCAATTATAAATTAATATTAAATGTTACTTTATTGCAAGATTTTCAATTAAAAACATAACAAAATAATGTCAAATCTTTATCATACACATTCTCTTTTACCTTCTTTCAGTGCCTCTCACATACTGCCCAATCGCATGCATATGACATCGCAGTAAAGTGGTTATTACTCCTGCTTGTATTTTTGAGGTCCCTGGATCAAATCTCAGCCCAAATACCTGTCCTGACTGAAGCTTTTCACGGTTTTCCTAACTCTCCCCCATGCAAAAGTGGGGATAGTAGCTTAAATTAGGCCATGACTGCTACCTTCCATATCCATTCCAATTCATTAATCATCTTACCATTCAATGGCATATAGTCTAACTATTGACTGAATCATTAAATGAACAACAAATAAATATAAATATAACAGTGAACTGTCATTAGTATCACTGTATCATGATCCATATATATTACAGCCCTTGAAGGGATTGTATTGCTTGAAGGGCATACTGAAAATAACTTACTTATAACATTAGTAACAATTGAGAACTGGGAGTATCTAAAAGAAACTATGTTAAGACTCTGCACATTTATCTGCAGAAACTGATATTTCCAACTCTGGTAACTTACTATAACAGCCTCTAGAAGACATGATGCTATTGTAACAAATAACTGACAATAATGCATCTCATGCAACCTTCCACCAAGACACATTAACATGGTTACATTACAAACATGTAGTAATAATTACAACTTACCATATTTTATTAATCATCATTACATGGTAAAGGAATCTGTTATGTTGTTCATTTTATCAACATAATAAAAAAGTCACTACATGATAAAGGAAATAATTAAACCACTGGAACTCATAATGTCTACAGTGATGACACAAAGTGAATCATGATTCTCCTAGCCTGTACCAACATATCTAAAAGAACTGGACTGTGGCACATACTTGAAACTCTACTCTACTCTAAAAAAATTGCTTTATGTGCAAACCTTCTCAATAGTTACCAACTTCAACTGTCAGCAAAACATGTTCACTGTAGGCATGCACAATAATCTGCATAAACCGGAAATTGCAAAGGGCATAATCCTCATTATTAGGACTGATAGACATGAAGGAATAATGGTTTTGGGGAAAGAATCTTAAAAGTTTAAAAGATGACTGTGAATGATAAACTGGAA